GCTGACAGGGTCTTGGTGGCACTGCTGTCGTCTTTGACCTCAGACATGCTGAGCCTCCTGGAGAATTCTTGGTCCATCCTGTGATCAGAGAGTGGAGGTGCTGGGAAGGGCCACAGGCACAATCTCCAGACCCACACTGCCTAGAAGGGCAAGAGCCAGGGGAGAGTTTAGGCCTGCCTCAACCTGGCTTAGAGGCTTCACAGCTCCCTCCCCCTGGAGCCCACAATCCATTCACAGGCCTGCTGGGAGGGCCATGTCAGTGTCCAGGGATCAGCTTCAGGAGAAGACACATGTCGACTGACGTGTTCAGGCCCTCACTAGATGACAGCAACCGTTCCACGTGCTTCCTGAGTAGCCAGTGCGCTCTGTACAACGTGGGCTTAAGCTCAGGGCAACTTTTTGAAAAAGCATTTTCTGTTAAGTGGATAAGGCAGATATTGCGATGAACAGCAGAACTGGTCCTCTCTATACCCCTGGAAAAGGAGCCCTGGAAGTACAGTGCTTACACATTGGGCTGCTAGCCGAAAGGTCAGCAGTTCGAAACCATCAGATAGCTCCAAGGAAGGAAAACGAGGTTTTCTACTTTCATAAGGAGTTACCGTCTTGGAAACCCACAGGGGCAGTTCTACCCTGTTCTATAGGCTGGCTACGAGTCAGAGCTGACTTGATGGCAGTGAATTTGGTTGGTTTGTTTTGTTATGCTCCTGGCTACATGCCCACATCCTAAGGGATGGCTATAGGCCCCTCTGCCATCGCCCACACCCATGCCCAGCCCTGGGACACACGAACACATATTTGCTGGGAATCTGCCCACGTTGGATCTTCTGGGCATTCTCATCAAGCTGCCAGGCCATCCAGTAGCCAAATGCGCCTTGGGGCAAGGTGTCGTCAACATAGAGGATGTCATCCTTCTTGAAGCTCAACTCATGCTCCACCTCTGCCGACCGGTCATACAGCGCCCTGTGTGGGGCAAAGCACAAAGCTGGTCAGAGGAGACACTGCCCTCCAAGTCTTCTGTTCTTCCAAGGTCAAGAACTGGCTCGCTACATCCTACTGGAGACTTATAGAGGATGGAGCCACACAGAAAGGTTAACTATTTGCCTTTCTTCCAGATGGGAAACAGATATCCTTCAATCTCAGGAGCCTCAAGGGGTCCTGAAAATAGGGGGTGCCTCATCCCCATCAAATAAAAAACTGTTGGCCCAGGACCATGGCCATGACTGCCCCTTCTAAGAAAAGGTCATGATTCCTATAGACTTGATTAGAACTATGCCATCTCCCATGACCGTGTTGCCCCCAAACACAGGGAATTATAGCTCATGGTACTCAGCTGATCCGTGGTTCTTATTCCTTTTGTGGTATCAGAGCTTTGGAAAGGTAAAGGAAACCACAAGCCCCACCTAGAAGATGCCTGGTGCCTGTTCCCACACCCAGAATAGCTCAGGGCACTCTGGGTGCCATGAGATCCATTCACACCCTGTCCACAGAGGGCTCTACACACCGGGTCAGGAGACATATGCAGCCCAGGGGGAAATGGGACTAGTGGCCTCAAAGTTCTCAGGCCCTGGTCCCAAATAAGAGTATCAGGTCCTATAAGCCCTCAAATCTCAAACATCTCGCCCTGAACTCAGGGATCAGAGGGCCAATTAATGACTATCAGAGTCCCACCCTTTGGAGGCAAGAAACAGAGACATTTGCTAGGAAGAGAATACCCACTAAAAGCCTGCTCCCCTCCTCTACCCCCCCACGCCCCCTAGCATTGGGTCTGCCTCTGGTACCTGATATAGAAGCCGTCCCCAGGCAGGCCCTTGACCCTGGCAAGCTCCTCGGGGCAGTACTGCACCTTCAGGTGGATGCCTTCCTTGGGCTTCAGCATCTCCATGTACACTTCCTCTACTGTCTTGTTCCGCATGTCCAGTGTGCCATACTGCCCGTGAACAAATGAGGTAAGATCAGAAGGGCAGACACAAGTCTCAGCTGCAGGGGTCCAGTATAGAGGTAAAGTAGAGATTTACCACCACCACCACCACCACCACCACCACCCCCCACCCCGTGAGGTTCTTTTTGTGCCAACATGGCTCCCATAGGAACATGTAGGTGGTTAGCCTGGCAATCGGGTCACAGCTTCATTGGAGGCTGACCAAGTTAAATGGCTTCGAAGCTGGCCTCTTCCTCTTCCTCCCTGGAGGCAGGTCATACACTCCATCTCTCTGCTTTCACCTTTCTGCTGGCGAGCCGCACTAACACCTGCGAGCCCTGTGATACACACCACCACCATTGGATCCACAGGACTTTGCACCCACCGGCCTGTGATCTTCCTGCCTTCCGCTTTATTGCATGTGGCTGTGTGAGTCTGAAGAGGGACTTATGGACCAGTACCAGACTTATGGATTAGTATTGGACTTATGGACTTAATCTGGACTGGGCTGAGGTGTTTGCTTGATATGATTCCTCCTTGATTTATGGTTCTCTCACACAATCATGTCTCTGGACTTGTTTCTCTAGTCAATCCAGCCTAACACACCCCTTAAACTGAACCTTGGCTGGTCTTCCCTCTGGAGGTGAGAATGGACCCTGTGGTCTCCTCTAGTGCCAATTCTCCAGCCACATCCTCTAGAACTTGTCCCGGGGAAAACCCGGGTATGAGATCTTCAAAACACGCCACTTCACTTTGCTGACACTATGCTGTCCCTTTAAGTATCAACAAGGCACCTCTCTTATTAAGCAGTGGGTCCAGTGGAGACGTCACTGCCTCATCAATTCGAGTCCTGCTATTCACAAGAACAGAGCAGCTTCCCACAAGATCCCCAGTGCTGCACTTCTCGGAAGTCTACCCGGAGGGTCTCTGTAGCACCCTGGGTTTATAAAGCTCCAACGAAGTACGAATAGGGCCTCCCATGTGAGATTCCATGCTCCTCTGCGGCCAGGGCCATTAGAAGTTGCAGCAAGCCCATCCTGAGGGGCTGAGAGGGGCTTGGACTGCTCAGAGCTCAGCACTCACCTCAAGGATGAGGTCCCCTGGCACAAGGCCATCGGGGCCGCTGGCAGGGCTGTCATCCTCCACCTCGGCCACAAACACCCCATGCAGGTTCCCGCCACACAGCTGTACTCCGAGCTCCAGCTGAGACTTTTTGATGAGAACCAGGCGAGGCTCTGCCGTCTTCGTGTTGGCATCACCTGTGCCCCTTTCAAGAAGGAAAAGGCATTCCCCCATCATGCTTCGAGAGGGAGCCAGACATGGGAAGATAAGGCGATGGCTAGCTCTCTAACGGGTCTTTGGAGGAGCTCTCAGGACAACAGTTCCCTGAGATGTTGTCTCATCACTAGCACTGTTTCTAGTGACTCCTTTTCACAGGGCATGATACATAAGTGCAAAAGAGACAAGAGAGGTCAAAGCTAAGTTCATGCGATTGGTTCGTAAGAGAGTCAAAATCAAAGCCTCCACGGCTGTCTGCTTCCCATTTGGATGGGTCTGCTCTCCTCGTTTTATTCTACTTAAGAAAGCCAGACTTGAAGACAGACCTGGCCTCACTGGCATATGTTCATTCAGCAGATGTTTACTTAGCAGCGTCCGCAAACCAGGACCTTCAAAGAGATGACCCCTTGCCCTCAAGGAACGTACAATTTAGGAGGGGAAATAAGGGGAGTGAGAGAAAGAGGGTCAGTGGTGGAGCGTGAGAAAGACGCCTCCAGGAGAAGTCAGGCTGGGGTGGCCACGTTACTGCAGGTGTGCGCCACTGTGACTGGCCTTGGTTCAATGAATGACCAGCTGACCACTCCTGAGTGAGGTCCAGAGTGTCCCCAGGGCCCATCAGGGAGGAGAAATGTTTCCCCAAATATATGGAGGGGCTGGCCTTCTGCTGATACCCATCAAAAAACTATTCCCTTGGCCTAACTGACCATCAAACCCACTCTCCACAGAGCAACTCCTGTCCAGGGGGATAACAGTTTATTATGATTTGTATCATTTAAAAAACACGAGTCCATTAAACCGAGTAGAAATAAGTCCGCAAAAAGCCTGCCAAACAAAACACACTTTCAGCATGTTAAAGTAGACAGATGAGAGGAAATCCCAGACTGCTCAGTCACTTCCTGATTATTCTATGGCAGCCAACCGGTCCTTAACTTCAGGAGGGATTAGCCTCCCTGCCCCAGCTTCATTGCGGATTCCAACTTCTGCATTATTTCTGTCTTCTGTCCTTCAAAGGTTTCTGCCAGGGTCAAGAGAGCTGTGTGGATGTCTTCATGCTGCAAGTCTTCATTGGGTCGTTTTCCAGGAAAGTCTTCCCATATTCACAGAGTTTTCCCCATTGCCATGGCTTTCCAGGCAGGAATCTGACTGAGATAAATACGGCTGTCTTTCATTTCAACCACGAATGAGAAAAGCGCCTGACTGGTGTGCTCTTGCGTGACAGAAGCTACTCTTTGTACCAGCTGCACTTGGGAATAGGCCCTTGGTAAAGCAGGTAGTCCTGCTGGGCTCATTTCTGAGCCCTGTGCGCACTCCTCTTTCATCACGGCCATGCCACTGACACCAAGCCTATATGCTTGTGATGGGTTCCACATTGTGTGCACTGCACTCATCAGACAGAATGGATTTATGTTTCTGTTCAGTTGCTAATACCACACCATTTACAGCTTTAATTCCCACAGAAGGGGCTCCTTCAGCCACAGCAGCCAGAGCATCTTTACCCGAAAGGCCAAACATGCACACTCCACCCAAATGTTTTAGGGTAGCGCTCTGGACCCTGTGCACTCCTCCTCGCTGCTCTCTTCTCTGTGCTGTGCGTCCTTGAGCTCCACCTGTCGCTTCCAATCTGGGAGCCCTGTCAGGCCAGGCCACCCTGTCGGTGACCAGTAGTAGAAATGCAGGCTCAGCACCAGGGGAGGCCTTTACGTCATGCCCTGACTGAGCTGATGGCAGGTCAGGAAGGGACGAAAGGAGGACCAGCCGGGAAAGGAAGCGGGTTAAAGAACGAGTCCATCCGAGAACAAAAGGAAACAGAACGAACTGGGCGAGGGAGAAGGAAAGGGAAAAGGCAGCCCTGGTCAGACACCACCCAGACAGGCCCTGAAGGCATGCTGTGTGGCCTGCAGCATGGGTACTCCAACCTCTCACCCTATGTTCTTATCGAGCTGTGCATTCATGATAGGCACATCCTGCACCCTAGGGCTTTTTCTGCGGAGTCCAGCAGCAGGCCTATTCGCTAAGATTTTCCCTTGGGTTCAAGGCCTCAAACTGTCAGATCTTTTTCAAGCTTAGATGGTAAATTCCTTGACACCAAGAGGCCATCTCTGTAGTTCCTGGACTGTTGACACTGCTCAGTAAACACCTACAGCAGGAACTGAGCTCTGGACACTGAGGCAGGTCTAGTTTTTCTCACCAGAACAAAGTGAGGTGAGAAGGAGGTTGTGGGCAGCCAGCAGCTGTGGTAGACCGTGGAAACTCACGCTCACTCACTAACCTGGAGCTGGGTGTGCTCTGCTTGGCTGCAGGGGCCCCTGGGCCCTCATCCTGTGCCATCAGTGGGTTGATGGCAGCCACGTGTTCTGGGGTGGCGGCCCCACTACCTTGCAGAGTGGAATGGTTGCTAGCAGAGTCCAGGTGAGAACTGGAAAGAGAGAAAGAATCATGTCACAGCCTCCCCTCACCTGTTGGAAACATGTTTGGGCTGGGGAAGAGACCAGAAGGCCGAGCAGAGGGAATTCCCAGAGCAACTGCTAGTCTCTGCCTCCCACCTGTCCAGTCCCTCTCAAAGATCTCTGGCCTAAAGTCTGGAGCTCCAGGGTGATCCCGGGGATTTTTCTGTTGGTAAATCTTGTTCCATTGAGCTGTACAGTGCTGCCCTGCAGGCCAGGCCTGCCCTTGACCCACAGTGCAGGGGCGGGGGCGGGTCTCATCTCTGCGCCCTTCTGACTACTCAGTGCAAATCCCCAACCCAGGGCCTCAGCAGCTGACCGACTCTCAGCCATGTGCGTGACCTCCTTCTGGGTGGCAGAGTGCAGCCACTGCTGCTCCCACCTCCCCCAGGACCCTCTCTCTGGATGCTGTCCCAAACCCAGGGCCCCTCAGAACGCCTCTCACTAGCCGCAGAGACCACCCCTCGTGCGCAATGCTCTTCCCACCCACTTCTTTC